AGGGTCCAGGATTTAAGATGCCCTCTCTGGACATCAAAGCACCAAAGATCTCAGCTCCTGACATTGACATCAACCTCAAAGGACCCAAGATCAAAACGCCGAAAGCGGATGTCAACATAGAGGGTGGAGATATTGATGTTGAAGGACCAGAAGGTGGGTTCAAGATGCCCAAGGTCAAAATGCCCAAGTTTGGGTTCAAAGATCCAAAACTTGAAGGTCCTGAAATTGATGTGAGGCCTCTCAAAGCCGGCGTTGATATCTCAGGTGACATAGCTGGACCAAAGGTCAACTTCGAAGGCCCCGATGTCTCCGTGCCCAATGTGGACGTCAGCCTCAAGGGTCCCAAAGTCAAAGGAGATATTTCGGGCCCGAGGGTCGAAGGTGGCATCAAGGGTCCTGATGTGAATGTTGAGGGTCCAGATGTTGATATCGAAGGAGGACTCAAAATGCCCAAAATCAAAATGCCCAAATTTGGTATCAAAGGACCTAGACTGGAGGGTCCGGAAGGAGACTTTAACCTCTCTGGCCCTAAGATACAAGGTGACATTAAGGGGCCGAAAGTGGATGTGTCTGGCCCCAGTATGGACATCAAGAGCGGAGACCTTGAGCTTGAGACCCCTGAGATCAAGGGGAAGAAGTCCAAATTCAAGTTCCCCAGATTTGGATTTGGGAGCCCAAAACTGGAGGGTCCTGACTTAGACGTCAAGATGAAGGGCCCCAAGCTCAGCGGAGACTTTGACGGTTCTGCCGATGTCAGTCTCTCCGGATCCCCGCTACAGGGGGGAATCCAGGGCCCCAGCCTGGACCTCGGGGCGCCAGACGTGAACGTCAAGGGGCCAAAGATCTCGGGCGGGGCGGGTGGAGGACTGCACGTGAAAGGCGGCGCAGGAGTTGGCGTCGACGCCCCTGGCCTGGAGGCATCGGGCGGGGGGCTGGATTTCGGAGACGCCAAGGTCACCTTCCCGAAGCTGAAAGTGCCCAAGTTCGGGATCGCTCTGCCCCAGCTCGAGGGACCGGAGATGGGGGTGGACGTGGGCACCGGAGGGGCGGCCGGCGCAGGGGCGAGCCTGCAGGGCCCCTCGATCGGGGGCCACCTCGGCTCCCCGAGTCTGGAGGTCACGGGGCCGGAGGTGAAGGCCGGCGGAGGCGGCGCGGGGGGCAAGGCTAAGATCAAGATGCCCAAGTTTTTCGGGAAGTCCAAGGCGAAGGGGGGCAGCGCGGCGGACCTCAGCCTGCAGGGGCCCGAGCTGGAGGTGTCCAGCGGGGCCGCCGGAGTCAAGGCCTCCAAGGGCCTGAGCCTGAGCTCCGGGGAGCTGCTCAGCGGCGACCTCTCGGCCGGCGGGGGCGCGGGGATCCGCGTGTCGCCCGCGGGCAAGTCGGCCTCCCTGGATCTGCTGAAGAAACCGCGGCACCGCTCCTCCTCGCTCAGCGACGACGCGGGCGTGCCCTCGCCCAGCTCCCCCACGGGGCACCTGGAGGCCGAGGGCGGGGGGGATCTGTCCTTCGAGGCCGGGGGCGCCAAGGTCAAGGGCAAGAAGGGCAAGCTGAAGTTCGGCACCTTCGGCGGCTTCGGGTCCAAGTCCAAGGGCTCCTACGAGGTGACGCTGGGCGAGGAGGGGGAGGCCCGGGTGGAGGGCGCCGGCGGGGTGTCCCTGCCCGCCAAGAAGTCCCGGATCTCGTCCTCCTCCAGCAGCGACAGCGGGACCAGGGGCGGGTTCCGCTTCCCCCGAGTGGAGCTCGCCGTCTCCAAGAAATAACCCCCTGCCCCCCGCCCCGCCCCCGGCCCGAGCGCCACCCTCCCCTGCCCTGCCAGAGCACCCCTGTCCTTCTCCGGCACCCCCTTGTGGCCGGATGTCAGAACTGCAGCTCCAGTCCTAGTCGGTCCCCCAAGACGGACAGTGGAGAGGGGGGTCCCGTCCCCCCACTGTCCCCCCCTTTCCCTCACGAGATTCTGCCACACTGGAGTCAGAGGCTTTGAGACGGAAACGTTCGGGAAATCATCCTCTAATTGTAAATAGCGTTTGAGTCATTTTATTATTATTGTCTTCAAAGAGGTTTGTTTTTTTGTTTTGTTTAGTTCTGTACATAGAAATCTTTTATTGATCATAAACCTTTCTCTGTTTCTCTAACACAATCACACACACACACACCAAGTGCCTTCTGGTTCTTCCCTGGAAATTGACAGACATTTTTTTTTTTAAAAAAGAGCAGAATTTAAGATTTTCAAATCGTTTATACTTTTCCTATTTTTTTTTTGTTAATATGAGGTGAGCTATTTTTGTATCTGGTTTGGAAATGAATAAAATATAGCCTTTCAATACTTCTGTACTAGGGGCGATACGAGTGGGTCAAGAATGCCAATATATGCATTTATATATATATATTTTTCCAGATTTTGTGGCTACGCGTTAACGAGTTTGTGCCCGAGGAGTGTGGGGCCGCTGGGGCTGGTGGGACAGGACACCTTAGATGTGCTGATGAGAGGAAGGGGCCCCAGCACGCAGACGGCCGATGAGGTTTTGTAAAATAAAAAGTATGTAGAGGTGACCGCTGTCCGGCCCGGACTGGAGCGGCGCGCTGGTGCTGGTTCTGGTTCTGGAGCGACAGGCAGACGGCTCCTCTCTCTCTCTCTCGCTGTGCCTCCTGTCCTGCCCTGTGTGCGCGTGTTTCTGTCAGAAAGTTGCCGATCCGCGGGAGAGAGGAGCCGCGCGTCTCCTGTCCCCCGTCCTCGTCCCCCCTCCCCAGTGCCCAGCGCCGATCCGGGGACGGTCCTGCGATTTCTCCCGGCTTTTGTATCCTGTAATTATTGCACTTTCCGTAACACTTGATTGATAGAGACGTGGGGGTTGTGGAAAACATTTTATTTTTGTTGTTGTTGTTGTTGTTGTTATTGTCGGCTTAAACAAACCACAAATAAACTGTTCAGTTAACCTCAGCCTCTGCTCGGTGTCCCGGAGTCTCTGTCGCGGGTCGGGGGGGCAGGTAGTTACAGTCCTGGTGAGGTGTCTGGACCTTCGAGTCCAGCAGATTCCTTATCCCGATCCGGCAGGAGTCTGGGATGTCTGGATGGGCGCCGGGACCGGGGATTCGCGAGATCGGGAGATCTGATCTGGCCGCGGGCCGGCGGGGGAACTGGAACAGTATGTAGACCCAGACACCGGGGAACGGCTCAGTACTGGGGGTCCCAGCCGACGCCCCTAGCCGAAAGCGCCCCAGTCGAGCTGCTCACCCGGAGTTCTCTCCAGGCACCACAGAAATGCACGTTGTTAGGCAGAGGAAGAACAGGGCCTGGACTGCTCTGCATGGGCGCTGTCTCCTGCCGCTCCCTAGGGTGTGGACCCGCTGACAACAAGGCCGGAGCAGGCAGGGTGCTGAGCTAGAGCTCAGACAAGCCCAGTGTTTCTGGAAGCACCCGCTGGGCTACGATTCTCTCAGAGGCCTGTGGCCCCAGCATGTAGCGGAAGAGTTCACAGGCCTCGGCTGGGCCTCCAGTTCAAACAGAAACTAAAGCTGGCGATGAACACCTGTTGATGTGCGACTCAGGACGAGTGGGCAGGATTGCAGCGGGCGGGGAAATGTGAAGCATTTCTACTTGTGACCGCCGGAGGGCAGTGTGGTGTTTTGCTGAAACCGAACGGCGGGCGGAAGCTGCAGTACTGGCTGTGGCCAGGAGATGGCAGCGCGGCGCTGCGGCTGCCGGAAGGATTGCTCGTCAGGGGGCCGCGGCGTCATTGACACGGACTGATTGTTTTCAAGCGGCTCTCAGATACAATAACACTCTGATGGGAAGGAGACAGAGGGGATCAAACACATACTGTGGCAGGTGAGTGTAAACACACACACAGACGAGCTCTCTGGCAAAGGTGAAGACACACACGTGTGCTTGTGTTCAGCCTCTGTGTGGGGAGGGGGGGTCTCTCAACTCCTGGCTGTCCCAGACACCAGCAGACCTGAGACAACAGCTGCACACCAACACACACTGTCCCACTGAGCACAAGGCGGGGTACACCCTAGATTGGATACCAGGCCATCTCAGAGCACAGACACAAACACAGGCTCACTGTCTGTTCCTCAGGCTGGGACAGGAGATCACACACTGTATTATTATTATTGAGAGACAGGCTCACTGTCTGTTCCTCAGGCTGGGAC